GTGTTTTGGGAGGCTGAAGTGGGAGGATTGCTTGAGCCCAAGAGTTTGAGACCAGCCTGGGCAATGTAGCAAGACCTCGTCTCTGAAAAATTGAGAATTAAAAAATCAGCCAGGCATGGTGGCACATGCCTGCTATCCCAGCAACTCAGGAGGCTGAGGTAGAAGGATTGCCTGAGCACAGGATGTCAAGGCTGCAGTGAGCTATGATAGGGTCGTTGCATTCCAGCCTAGGTGGTAAAGTGAGACCCCACCTCAAAAAAAAAAAAAAAAAAATTGGGTGTGGTACTTTATTTAGGTAATCAGTTGATAGTGGACTTATAAGTTATTTGGTCAGTATACGTTTTCTTGATTAGCCTTGGTAATTTTTGACGTTTTTAGATTTATCATCACACTATTGTATTTTAATTTGTATCGAATTTTTATCTTTAGCTAATTTTATCTAGGTGTCATATGTCCTGTTTCTCATTTCTCATTACTGGTTATTTCTTGTATTCAAAGAACCAGTCTTTTTGTTGTTTCTAGAGTATTTTTGTTTCTAAATAACTTTTTAAAAATTTTCCTGAAGTTTATAGGAAAGAAACTATAAAGACTTAAAATTCTTTTTTTTTTTGGCTGCGTGCAGGGGACTGACTATTGATGGTACATGAGGTGGGGCTACCTAGGGCCTCCTCCTTTCCCCGCCCCCCCATCCTTCAGGGGGTCTGGTGTGGACACCGTAAGGAGGGGAGATTCTTAGTGTGGTCTGGGACTGAGTGTGGCAGGGACTCCCCAGAAGCTGAGGGCTTCTCTCTTCCTCTCGTGCTTTTGCTAGGCCTGGTGGTCCAGGAGCTCTTAACTCCTTGGAGGCCTTGTGGAGGTCCACTATCCTGTTGCTGTAGCCAAATGCATTGTCATAGCAAGAGATGAGCTTGACAGAGTGGTCGGTGAGGGCAACGCCAGCCCCAGCATCCAAGGTGGAAGAGTAGGTGTCACTGTTAAAGTTGGAGGACACAACAACCTGATGCTCAGTGTAGCCCAGGATGCCCTTGAGGGGGCCCTCAGATGCCTGCTTCACTATCTCCTAGATGTCACCATATTTTGTCAGGTCATGACAGACATACTGGTGGTGGGGACACGGAAGGCCGTGCCCGTGAGCTTCCCATTCAGCTTGGGGATGACCTTGCCTACGGCCTTAGCAGTGCCAGTGGATACGGGAGTGATATTCTGGAGGGCCCTGTGGCCGTCGTGCCACAGCTTCCCAAAAGGGTCATCCTCAGTTTTCTGGATGGCAGTGACAGCGTGGATGGTGGTCATGAGTCCCTCCTTGATGCCAGAGTTGTCATGGATGACCTTGGCCAGGGGGCCAAGCAGTTGGTGGTGCAGGAGGCATTGCTGATAATCGTGAGGTTGTTCTGGTACTTCTTGTGGTTTCACGCCCATCACAAACTTGGGGGTGCCAGTGGAGAGGGCAGAGATGATGACCCTTTTGGCTCCCCCAGCCTTCTCCAAGATAGTGAGGATGCCAGCAGACTCCACTGTGATTTAATTTTGGTGGGATCTTGCCCTTGGAAGATGGTGATTGCCTTTCCATTGATGACAAGCTTCCAGTTCTCAGCCTTGACAGTGTCGTGGAACTTGCCGTGGGTGGAGTTGTACTGGAACATGTAGCTGAGGTCAATGAAGGGATCGTTGATGGCAACACTATCCACTTTGCCAGAGTTAAAAACAGCCCTGGTGACCAGGGGCGCAGTATGACCACATTCGTTCACTCCGGCTTTCAACTTCATCATGGCGTCTCAGAAATGCAGCTAGTGCTGCACGAGCGATGTGGCTGTCTGTTGAGTGGGAGGAGCAGAGAGCCAGGACTTAAAATCTTAAAATTGAAAAAAAATAAGTAAACAGTTACCTTAATCTTTAACGATTTAAGATGATAGGAGTTGAGGTTTTTTTGTTTTGTTTTGTTTTGTTTTGTTTTTTTGGAGTCTCACTCCATCACCCAGACTGGAATGCAGTGTGGCGGGTTCATGGCCACCCCAGCGTCGACCTGCTGGGCTCTGGCGATCTTTCTGTCTCAGGCTTCCAAGTAACTGTAACTATAGGCTACCACTCCTGGCTCATTTTTTAATTTATTGTACAGACACAGTCTCGCCAAGTTACCTAGGTTGTTCGCGAATTTGTGGTCTCAGTCTCAGGCAGTCTCCTCACCTTGGCCTCCCAAAGTGCTGGGATTGCAGGGTTGAGCCACCATACAGTTGAGGTTTTTCTTGAAAATTTTAAACAATTTAAGCAGCAGCAGGGATACGGCTCAGCTACTGTTAGAGTAGGAGTGATTTTTTTTTTTACCTGTGGATGTCATAGATGGGAGTCTAGAGGAAAGGAAGAAATGACTCTTTTGCGTTTATTTATTTATTGAGTTGGAGTCTCACTTTGTTGCCCAGGTTGCAGTTCAGTGGCACATTGACGACCACCGCAGCCTCAACCTGCTGGGCTAAGGCAGTCCTTCCACCTCAGTCATCCAAATAACTGGAACTACAGCCCGCACCACCATGCTGGCTAATTTTTTGATTTATTGTCGAGATGAGGTCTTGCCAAGTTGCCCAGTCTGGTCTTGAACCCCTGGGCTCAGACAACCCTTCTGCCCTTGCCTCCCAGAGTGCTGGGATTACAATCATGAGCCACCACGCTCAGCGACAATCACACTTAAATCAACAAGCTTCCTCCCAAATAGTGTGAATAAACAATGACCTGTGGAGTGGCCTCTGGTTCATCTGTGTTGAGGGATCAGTGGTGGCTTACTCATCCATATGTGGGGCTCTGCTGTCGCTATTTGTGCCTCTCTCTGTAGATTGTGGGACCTGATGCTCTGTCCCATACCTCTACTCTGGGCTTAGAGGAAGAAGACGGAACCATCGATGCCACAAGTGATTTTTGCATGGTGAGAGTGGTGATGTTGTATGGTGGACTAACATTAAATGATACAAAACTTGTTTTTACATCTAATAAAGACATCGGAGCCCAGTGTTACTGTTTTTCTTTGAGTAAGATTTTCAAAAACTGCTTAAAATGATCCAGTTTTTTTGTTTTTTTTTTTTTGAATTGGAGTCTCACTCTGTCACCCAGACTGGAGTGCAGTGGCCGCTCCCAGCCACCGCAGCCTCGACCTGCTGGGCTCCGGCGATCCTTCCGCCTCAGCCTTCCAAGTAGCCGGAATTACAGGCATGCACTACCATGCCCGGCTGACTTTTTGATTTATTGTAGAGATGAGGTCTTGCTGCCCAGGCAGGTCTCAAACCCGTGGGCTCAGGCAATCCACTCACCTCAGCCTCCCAAAGGCACGGGATTACCGGCTGAACCACCGAGCCCGGCTGCAAAATGATCCAGTTTTAAAGATGTTCCTAGTCTCTGAGACTTTTGAAGAAGAGCGTTTAGGTTCCAAAATGAGCACATTACACAAGAGTTGTTGGACGGCTGCATGTGTGCATGTTACAGTATTGATGGGTTAACTTGAGTACTTGGAAGCTGAATTTATAGTATGTCATAGGAGTACAAGAAGGCTCAAGACAGGATCCTGCAAAGTGTTTCTTACCAATTAGTTCACATGTAAGTTGCCTAAGACAAAATGTTTTCCTATACCTGATTAGAAATGTATACCCAAATGTATACTTTTTTTTTTTTTTTAGTTGGAGTCTCACTCTGTCGCCCAGACTGGAGTGCAGTGGCTGCTCCCGGCCACCGCAGCCTCGCCTGCTGGGCTCTGGCGATCCTTCTGCCTCAGCCTTCCAAGTAGCCGGAATTACAGGCACGCGCTACCATGCCCAGCTGATTTTTTGATTTATTATAGAGATGAGGTCTCGCTGCCCAGGCGGGTCTCGAACCCGCGGGCTCAGGCAATCCACTCATTTCAGCCTCCCAAAGGTGCGGGATTACAGGCTGAGCCACCGAGCCCGGCTCTACGTATTTTTTAAAAACAAATGCATATTATGCTTTACTTGGTTTATTCACTTGTGGCTCATCTTAAACTATTTCTTGGCATTAATTTGTCCTTGGAAGTGTTTTTTGACTATTGTTAGAAGGTAAGCAAAGAGTTAACTGCATAAACACAGTGTGCTGCTTCTGCTCTTTGGAACTCCTCCTCCCCTGGTAACATGACTGACCTTGAATCGACCTTCCTAGGGCACTCTGAACTCTTAAGTAAATGTGTTCTTTAGCCCTGTAAGAATGACTGCTTGAAAAGAGACTCAGGAAGGGCACAACTGACTTGAAGTGGGAAGAAGTGAAGGAATGAGGCATACAGATCAAATTCATTTGCAACTGACCTTCCAGAAGTTAGCCTGCAAAATGTTCTTCAGATTGTTTATGTGTACAATGCAAAGGGAAGGCAGAGATGGAAGGAATAAGGAATTTCATGGAAAAGTGTCTTAGAATGTCCTACCACTCTGGAGAGTTCTTTTCTAGTCCTGTCCTATGCTTGGGTGCAATAAGTATTGAATACCGGTGGTGAGGCTTTACACGATAGAGTCATACATCACGAGACTCAGGAGTTTTGTTCACTGTTTGCTTAAGAAGCAAAACCTATGTAGATGAAGTGTGGAGCTGGTGTCCTTGAATGCTGTCATATTTGTGGGTGTGTAGCTCGCAATTTCATTTACTTGTTAAGAATCTACCTTGATGGTGGTAGGGGAAGTCTTACTGAATTTTAAATGCAATCTTACCCCTCTATTCTCATAAGGTTTATAATGTCTATGCATCTTTTAAATCTATAACACGGTGACACCTTAAAGTTTAAGAAAATCATGTAGAGAAAAGTGACATTTTAAGTGCCAGTGTTTTCAGGATGAATATATATATATGAGATCTCCTTGATGGATTAGGTAAGCTCTTGCCAATTTATCGTGGTAGTTTCTCCTTAAACTTTCCTAGTCTTCCTGGTCTTTGAGAATGTGCCCATCCTGAAGCCAATGATAACAAAAGACTGATTTGTACCAAGTAAACACACGTGTCCTGGCTTTGTTTTCTAACAGCAGTCAGAAACGGAGACGGTTCATCTGTTTATCCCAGCCCTGTCCGTGGGCGCCATCATCGGCAAGCAGGGCCAGCACATCAAACAGCTTTCCCGCTTTGCGGGAGCTTCGATTAAGGTACTGTCCCACCAGCTGTGGCTCCCCTGGTTCCTTATGTAACACGCAGAACATCAATCTGCTTGCCACTTTGTGCATCGAATTGAATGTGGACGACTATATTAGGGTTACGTAAGGGTACGACAGAAAATCCCAAACGCCAGGTAAGTCAACTTCTCTCCAGAAAAGGTGGCCTGGTAGTGAGCAATCCAGGACCAGAAGGTGGCCCTGCCCCACCACGGAGCTCATCTTCTCTGGGCCTTGTCCCCTCATGGTCCCAGGTGACACTGTCCGGTGCTCTAACAATCAGGCCGGTTGTCCAGCCAGTAGGAAAGGAGAGCATGACAAAGAGCCTTTCTCTAAGGGGGTTTTCTGTTAGCTGCTAAAGGATATTCCTGCCTACATCCATGGCTCAGATCTTGACCAGGCAAAGCTGAGGGGGGCAGCAAGGGAGTGCAGTCTGTGTGGAGTCAGCTAAGCCTTTATGATTGCAGGAGACAGGCTAACAAGTATCGGAGGACAGTTAACGGCATCTGCCATGATAGAGGATGGTGTGAACTGAAGATTCTGAGTTTTGCTGTGCTGAGGCGATATAATATTAAAAGGATGGGTTGTTTTGTTTTAAGGAAAACAACGGTTGACAAAGACTTGATATATTAATAGCTTTCTGTAGGAAAACATTGCTCTATCGGGAGTTTTATTTTGGTTTCTATAAACTTATTTTTAAAAGATACTATTAAAAAAAAAAACCACATAAGTACATTTACCATACAGCCCATAAATCCCACTCCTGGGTATTTATCCAAGAGAAATTAAAACTTAGGTTAACATGTAACCTGCACTCAAATGTTTGTAGCATCTTTACTGATAAATACCCCCAAATAAGAAGAAAATAAATGTTCTTCAACGGGTGAATGGGTAACTTGTAGTTCATCTATATAATAAATATCACTGAGAAAAAGGAATCAACTATTGACAGATGCAACTTGGGAGAAATCTCATGTATTATGCCAAGAGAAAGAAGTCGGGGGCTATATACTGTGTGACTTCATCTACATGGTAAGTCTGAAAAAGGCAGAACTGTAGGGATGGAGACGAAACCAGCAGTTGCCAGGAGTTGGAGGTGGGGACAGGGTTGAAGATGAGGCAGCACAAGGACGCTGTGGTGGTGGCTACATGACTATGCATTTGTTATCTCATAGAACTAGACATCAAAACAGTGGATTCTACTGTATGTAAACTAAATAATTAAAATTCAAAACACAGAAATAGCCCTCATACACTCTTGGAGCAAAGGTTTCAAAATAGGTAAACAGGAAATCCAGCCAAAATAAATAAATTAGTCGAGGAAAAAACACAGTGAAAGATCCAGGGGTGAGCTGGCTTGACTCGCCTGCCAGTTTCCTGACTAACGAGCTAAAAATAAGTCTTTGACATACGCGCACACACACTAAAGAGAGCCTAGTATGTCCTTTCTGGAAGAACGTCAAACGAGCATTTCACAGATAGGAATTGGGTATTAGAGTCTCCGTTTTTATTCCTTATGGCTTTTTCTCATGAGGTCGAAAAATGTTTTTTTCAAAAAGTCTGAAACTGCATAATCGGAAAGGCCTACTGCCACCCTTCATACTTTGATGTGTGTAGGTTTTCATCTGTGTGTGTTACTTTATTAGGCATATAATATTTATTGGGTTTCGCCAAACCATAATCATTCATGTTCCCTTATTTGACATTTAGAGTATTCCTAGTTTTCATACATAGTGTAGTGATAAAGTTCTTTCAAAATTCTTGTAGATAGGCTTATTTCTTTAACATAAGGTGACAGCAGTAGAACTGGTAGGTCTAAGAGCGTGTACTTTTTTCAGGCTTTTGAGAGGTCATGTCCGTTTATGCTCCTGCTCTCTGTGTGAGTGCCCTCGACCCAGCCCTCTGTCACCAATATTGGTAAAGATATTTTTAAAGAAAACTAGCTGGAAAGCTGGAGAATGATATCTTCTTCCCAGGATAATCCTAAGAGCTTGGGCTAAAAGCAAGTAATTATTTGCTCGTCTTATAGACTCAGAATTAGCCAGTGTTCAGCATAATGTAGGAAAATTACCCATTTGGCTTTAGGTAACAAATTGTTAGCAATTTTTTCTGTTTTTCCCCCTCACCTTTTATGTGGTGGTAACACATTTTTTTTTTTTGAACCAACTTATACCAGCAGGTTCCCCAAGCCCTCATACTGTGATTCATGGGGATGCTGGCTTCCTCTTCTAGCAACAATTTCTGCACCACTTCCCCAGTTCAGGGTTTTGAAAGATTTCATATACTCTGTCAAAATAGCAAAGTCTGAGTTTACTTTTCCTCCTGCTCAATTAATGTTAGTTTATTTCATATGTCACTTGAAAAAGCATACTTGGGGGGGGGTTTACTAATACTCTTAGATTTGTCAACTTAGCAAAAAATGTATAAGAACCACTTAAATAAATCAAGAGTTTTCTTTCTAAATTCTATATAAAGGGCTCAGCAATCTAGGTGATATTCAAAAGCAGTGCCCTTAACCACGAAAGAAGAAAAGGTCATGTGGGGCAGTAGCCTTGGAACTTGGAGGTGGAGTCTTCCAGGGTGTGTTACACACATAGGAAGTCCAGGAGGTTCTGATGCAGTGGGCCAAGACCACTCTTTGAGTCCTGCTGGTGCAGTGAACTGGGCAGCGGAGGCAGACCCAGCTCTCCCTCCAGCTCTGCTAGGTTTGAGCAGGGGCCAGGCAACCTGGCGTCTCCAGCCTTCCACTCCCCCATCTGTAAAGTGGAGGTGACACTCCATGGGAATGTGGCGAGGACTGGCTGAGAGACCACGTGTGGAGCTTTCTGGTCAAGCCAGGCGCAGGGTACGTCCACGGGGTATGGCAGGAGCCCTGACTGACCAACCTGCAGGAATTGCTGCCGCTCCATAATTTCCTTCCAGAAGGCCTTTCATGCTCATTTCTGCCAGCCATGTGCAAACGCCAAGCTGGCTGGCCTGAAATTTCCCTCAGTGACACCTGAAAGTGTCGTAACTGTGGTGGATGGTCTGTTACAGATCGCTCCAGCTGAAGCACCAGATGCTAAAGTGAGGATGGTGATTATCACTGGCCCCCCCGAGGCTCAGTTCAAGGTATGTGCTCTAGAGAGTACACAGGGAACAAGTGCGTGTGAAGAACAGTGCTGCCTTTCCTGGAGCTCTGGAACCCGACTTCTCCCTTAAGTACGCCTGATACTCAGGAGAAGAATCAGTGGAAATTAACACCTAAGAGCAGAGTAGAACCAACCTCAAGGTTACAAAGATATGCCAAAAGCCTTTAATTCTGAGAATTCTGTAATGGTCGTTGGGGTTACCTGTCTCTCAGAGGTGGACTTGCTCCGTGCCTTGTTATCATATGTGAAGGCAAGAATTCAAGGCTGAAAGGTACAAACCTGCCTAGTTAATGTGCCTTTGAAACTTGTTCCAAGATTTTCCCCTCCTGTCCCTGAGATGCCCTGACAGTGACTTAAAATGCCCCCTTCTTCCTCTTTCCCTGGATTATCTGTTAGTTCTTGCCCACAGACTCTGCAGATCACTCTAATCCTTGGGATTTTAGAAGTAGAGGTGGCAGGCACTCTCGTAGCATTTGTCCTGGTGTGAACCACTGCACATATCTATCGGGGTTTGAGGGCTTTAGGGGCTGAAATGCCTCCCAGGCTATGCTGAGAGTTGACGTCGCGGAGTGACAAAGAGCAGAGACTTGACAGCCAGGCTGCTGATTCGAATCCCAGCTCCACCATCTACCCTGTGTGACCTTGGGGGCAAGTTGCTTAACCTTTTTCTGACTAGTTCCTCACCTATAAAATGGGGATAAGAGCGTCCACATCCTAAGGTAGGTGTAAGGTTTAAACAATATACAAAAGACTTAAAATAGTGCCTAACACCTAAGTACAAAGTTAGAATCCTCGTGGTGGTCAGCAGACTGGGTGAATCTTACCAGGGTGTTGACAGATTCCAGGTGCAAGCCTTTTAGCATATGGTTTCTCCTGTCATATGCAGTATGGGTGTCTTGTTCATCTTAGATAAAAGCAACTGTTGAATTCCATTATTACTAATTGACCTAAAACCTGTATCTTGGTCCCACCTGCCATTTGGCAGCTGTGTGGGAAGACAACTACTTACCCCTACTTAGCTCTAAAATGGGGCTGATAACAGTGCCTGCCTCTCTCCCCTCCCCCCTCCCCTTTTAAAACCATCACATTTTTTCACTAAAAATCCAAAACTGCTTTCACTTCATTTATAAGAGGAATAGGAAAAAACAAAGGAGGTGCTTTGAGATGTTGGTTTAGTTGGTTAGGCTCACAATTACTTTAAGAAATGTAAACACGGCAGGGCACAGTTGCTCATGCCTGTAATCCCAGCACTTTGGGAGGCCAAGGCGAGAGGATTACCTGAGCCCAGGGGTTCAAGACCAGCCTGGACAACTTGGTGAGATCTTGTCGCTACAATAAATTAAGAAAAATTAGCCAGGCATGGTAACGCACACCTATAGTTCCAGCTTCTAGAAAGGCTGAGGCAGAAGGATTGCCTGAGTCCGGCGGCTGTGGTGGCTGTGATTGTGCCACTGCACTCCAGCCTGGGTGACAGAGCGAGACTCTGACTCAAAATAAAAAATATTTCTTCACAGCAGCCTTGTGGGCCAGGTCCTTCAAATCATAACTCAGAAATATTGAAAATGGCTTCTTATCCTGACCCTTCAGCGTCAGTCACTTTTAGTTGGAAATGTTAAAAAAGATAATCATGAATTATTGCATGTTTTTCCTTGGTGCAGCTTTTACTCGTGTATAACTGGAATTATAAAACTTGTCTTGCAAGTCCTATAATGCTTGTATGAGAGGAAATTCAAACCTATTTCCCTGTGTTGTCTAATGTCCGTGTTTTCTAGTTATCTTAAATGCAACATTTAAGAGAAGCTATCATTGTTACATTTCATATATGTGATGGGTGTTAATTCTAAATGAATGTTTTACTTTAGAGATGTAAGGAATGGTAAGTCCCTTCTCCATGTTTTTTTTATGAATTCAAGAGCTTCTGTTTTGGGGGACGGTGTGTATCTCTGGTGTCCTTTGTGTTAACATCTCCATCAGTGGCCTGAGATGTAAGGATGAATGGAATATAGGGTATCATGATGAATTTTGGTTTTTTGGTAATTCCCTAAAATGAACATTTCTGTACCAGTGAAAATGTGTTGGGTACCTTTGTTTCTGTGGTTTGCCCTGGCAGCTTGTCATATTAGAACCCCTCTCAGGCTGCTTTTTCCTTTGATATATACCAGAGCAAACTAATGGTTGTACCTCATAGAAGAGGTTTCTTGTATATGACTTGTAGTTGTATGCAGTAGATGATAGATTGGCTACAGATATTAGAAGACATATTGGAAGTTACCTTATTTTGTAGCCTCTATTCAAAGGAAAAACCACCTAAGGTTAAGAAACACGTTTGAAGAGAATATATTCGTCTCTGCAGGCTCCCAGCTAGGCAGTTTAGATGTGCATTTGGCTTTTGGTGAGCCTGACTCTGCTGGCTCTGTAGTTCTTAGTCTCTTTTGCTCAAGAAAAATGCAATTATCACAGAAACAGAGTACCACGTGTTCTCACTTATAAGCGGACCCTGAACATTTACCATAATACTATAAGAAAGGGATTGGCAGTAGCGGGATACTCTTGGGGGGGACAATATCTGTAAGGGTACCTGATCTCAAACCATGCAAAGCGGAGACCAGAGGCAGGCCCAAGCTTTACCTGCACAATGTCCACTTGTTGTACCTAATCTGAATTGTACCACACGTCTTTAAAATAAAATATATATTAGGCACCAACAAAGAAAAATGCAATTTATTTCTCATGGCCAACATGAGAGGCTTTACTTTTCAGGACTGGAGTGTGAATGGCCGTTTGCACACAACAATTACTTTAGTGAGGCTAACTATTCATGGCCTTCATTTTTGTCAGAAGAAAATGGCTTATCCTTCTTTCATCAACTGTTCCATTGCTTCCATGATGGGCAGTGGCTACTGTCAAGCTTTCAGAATTCCTGATGTCCCTCTCACATGCCATCTTCAGAAGTCTGTGAAACGCACATGTATCACTGCAAAGGATTATTCCAGATGGATTGGGGCCATCTGAAAATTACTTGACCTTCTGCGTTTCAAACGTGAATGACACTGACAGGCTGTGTTCTCATCTGTAGGCTCAGGGAAGAATTTATGGAAAAATTAAAGAAGAAAACTTTGTTAGCCCTAAAGAAGAGGTGAAACTTGAAGCTCATATCCGAGTGCCGTCCTTTGCTGCTGGCAGAGTTATTGGAAAAGGAGGCAAAACGGCAAGTACCTCAGCAAAACCTGTGCAGTGGTATGAAAGGGAAAGCGTTGAAAGGTACTTAGGAGTTCCAAGTCCCTGACTTTTGGCTAATGTAGAAAAAGCAGGAGCATCTTGAGCAAGGTTTGGAGGAGGTGGCCTTTGGTTCCCGTGTTGGCGCTGGGTGTTGGTGTCAGCTCCTAGGATCACTTTGTGGGAGAAGACTGTCCCATCTTTAATGTAAAGGGCATCTAGCATTCTCTTGACGTGACTTTAGCTTTTTATTTTACAAAAGCTTAATGATATGAATGGAAAAATTGAAAAATTTTTGTCTGTAACTTGTTACCTAACTGAAAAAAGTCAGCAGTTTCCAGTCTTTCCCTAATACATATAGCTTCTAAAGTCATTTTCAAAGCATTTTGAGGTGATTGCACATACACTTTACAATCAGATTCTGAATCAGAAATTGAATCTCATTTTGCCCTTCACTTGTGTAACTGGGCAAATAAGTTTCTTTGGATGAGGCTTAGTTTTTAATTACCTTGAAATGGGGATAATGTTAGTAAGCTCATAGAATTACTACTGGATTAAGTGAAACCTGTAAAGCCGTAGCTCAGTGGTGCACAGTTAAGTGCTCAGGAAATGGTGGTTTTTAAAAACTCCACTTAATGTGATTCATGTTTCTCTTTTTTAGGTGAATGAGCTCCAGAATTTGTCAAGCGCTGAAGTCGTTGTCCCTCGTGACCAGACACCTGATGAGAATGACCAAGTGGTTGTCAAAATAACTGGTCACTTCTATGCTTGCCAGGCAAGTGGGCTCAAATAAGATAAACTTCTGCATCTTTCTTGTGGGAGCGCTTACCACATACAAATGTCTAAGGTTGTTGATGCTTGAGACTTTAATCTCCCTTTTAGCTGGTGATTTCTGGGACCACTGAAAACTGACTAGTATGTATCGTTAAAATTCAGATGCATTTTTACTTGAAGTTGTTGAAGATAGAAGAGGAAAATAACTTGTAGTAACTTCTGATCAGGTAGAATTTTCAAAGCTGTGTCCTTTTTCAGGTTGCCCAGAGAAAAATTCAGGAAATTCTGACTCAGGTAAAGCAGCATCAACAGCAGAAAGCTCTGCAAAGTGGACCACCTCAATCAAGGCGGAAGTAAAGGCTCAGGAAACAGCCCACCACAGAGGCAGATGCCAAACCAAAGACAGATTGCTTAACCAACAGACGGGCCGACCCCCATCCAGACCACATGCACAAGTTTTTACCTAGCCAGTTGTTTCTGAGGACCAGGCAACTTTTGAACTCCTGTCTCTGTGAGAATGTATACTTTATGCTCTCTGAAATGTATGACACCCAGCTTTAAAAAAAATGAGGGGGGGAGGGAGGGAAAGAGAGGAGCTCTGCACTTCCCTTTGTTGGAGTCTCACAGCATAACAATTCTAACTTTTCTTAATAGTCCCCCATAATGCCAGAAATTGGCTGATACATTCACTAAATTCATCAAATAGATTGCTCCTAAATCCAGTTGTTAAAATTGGATCAGAATGATGATCACAGGAACAAAAATGTTAAGCCATTAGCATAGAAAAACTGTTCTCAGTTTTATCATTGTCTAACACTAACATGAATAACCTAAGGGAAGTGCTCAATGGTGTTGGCAGGGGTATTCAATGTGCATTTTTACTCAGCTACCTCAGGTATTCAGTAATACAGTGAAAAGCAAAATTGTTCCTTTTTTTGAAAATTTTATATGCTTTATAATGATAGAAGTCCAACCATTTTTTAAAAAATAAATTTAAAAACTTACAGCTAACAGGCAAATAATTGAGAAAGATTTTTACTTCTGGCTGGTGACAGTAAAGCTGGAAAATTGATTTCAGGTTTTTTGAGGCTTTTGACACAGTTACTCGTTGGAAAAATCCAATAAATGTTCAAAAGTATGGAGCAGTGCCTATATTTGGAGAGCAGCAATCCCATTTATTCTTTTGTTTATCATTGGGAAGGTTTCGATGGTACTAACAGAGCAAAGTGGTGGCAGGAGGTACTGGAACGGCTGGTTTAAATGGCTTCAGGAGACTTCCGTTTGTTTAGCTACAAGATGAAGCGCATAAACGCTTTGTGCTTTTGACTATCACTACTTAAAGTACATCATTGAAGAGATGCAGGACTTTAAGATGATTGGCAAAAAGCAAGCTTCAGCTTATCTTATAGGCTGCTCAGTTTGCCAAGACACTGCAGAACAGCTGGTCTCCACTTTGAGCAGACTTCAAACTAAATACTTTATGAAGACCAATGGGACAGTCAGACAAGGTGTGACAGCGCTTAAAGGCAACAAAAGACTACATCTCCATGTGCCCGGCACTGTCTTGATCCTCAGTAAGCTGTTGTGAAGATTTTAAAGCAATGAGAAATAAAAAAATTAAACTCCACCTAAAATATCACATAAAACGTAGCAAGATTTCCATATACTCTGCAGCCAGTTATTTGAAAATAAGGCAAAAGGTAGAGGATACAAGAAAACAGGTTTTGGAATATAATTTGAATGACTGTGAAAACTTTTATCTAACCTTCGATACTGAACTTGTCTGCCCATTCCTTAACTTGATGGCAAAGCCCAGGATGTACAATTATGTTGGGTGTGGGTGGTCTCCACGGCCACGCTGCTCTCTGAATTGTTTTGTTTTGTTCATAAGATGACTGCAGTCACATAACACTGATATGAAGGGCTTATATAACCCCTTAAAAATCACTTTGCCTCACTGATATTTCAAGATGAATTTCTATACAGACTAGAAACATTTTTTTCTGAAGGTCAGCATATCAATTAGACATTTTGAAAATGATTTGAACTGTTTTCCTAAATATTTTCAGAAAACCAGTTTATTTTTTAGTTTTAGCCAAAAATTTTAAAAAGTGCCCTTTTTGTCACTGGATTCACCTAGTAGTCATAATTTTTTTTCCATTACAATGAATTAAAATTGCTAAAGAGTCATGGACTGGCTTTCTGGTTGGATTTCAGGTGAGATGTGTTTAAGGCCAGAGCTCTTCCTCAGTATTTGATTTTTTGCCAATGTTTGATTTTTTTTTTTTTAAATACAGATAGGTGCTGCATTTATATCTGCTGGTTTAAATTCTGTCATATTTCACTTCTAGCCTTTTAGTATGGCAAATCATATTTTACTTTCACTTAAGCATTGATAATTTGGAGTATCTGGTACTAGCTAAGAAATAATTCTGTAATTGAGTTTTGTACTCACCGTATATGGATCATTCCTCATCTATAATGTGCCCCAATTGCAGCTTCATTTTCAGATACCATGATGCAGAATAAAATATTTCATTTTTCATCATTTAGATGCAGTTTGCTGTGTTGGTATATTTTTTTGGTTTTCAAATGAAAGTGAATGTTCTGAATTTGAGTTTTGCAGACTCTAAACTTAGATTTTTGGTAATGCTATGTCAGTGTCATAACAAGCACCAATACTTACTGGTAAATTAAGCTCCTCCATCCATGGTACTTGATGTGAACCTTGATGATACTGTTGCATGTGAACTAAGAACTACAGGTTTATAGTTTTTCCTTATACTTTACATTTGCTTTCTTTGGTCATTTGGAATATTCCTAAAGGGTTCAAAAGTCTTCCTAGAAGAATATTATCACCTCAAAAAGTAATCAGCACTAGTTGGGGTAATTTTTGTTTTGTTTTGTTTTGTTTTTTTGAGCTGCAGTCTCACTCTGTTGCCCAGACTGAAGTGCAGTGGCCACTCCTGGCCACCACAGCCTCGACCTGCTGGGCTCTGGCGATCCTTCCTCCTCAGCCTTCTGAGTAGCCGGAACTACAGGCACGCGCTACCATGCCCAGCTAATTTTTTGATTTGTTGTAGAGATGAGGTTTCGCCAAGTTGGCCAGGCAGGTCTTGAACCCACGGGCTCAGGCAATCCACTCACCTCAGCCTCCCAAAGCACGGGATTACAGGCTGAGCCACCGAGCCCAGCTGTAATTTTTTTTTTTAATTTAAATTTTGGCCATTCAGTTAAACAGAGTAAGATGTACATTTAAGGAAGATTAATAAAAATCTGAGCATAGCTCATGTAAGCACAGGAGCCAGTGCTAGCTCCAAGAAATCCTGATGGAATTTCTGGGACAGAGGCAACATATACAAATTTAGGCTTGAATGCACTAATTCTTGGATTCTTGGTGTAAGTTTTAGCACATTTATATACAATCTCTGTATGTCAGTCAGCAGAAGTGCCCATGAGATAGAGAAGACTTGTTCTAACAGCAACCTAAGCAAGGAGATGGGATTTAGAAGCTGTATCTTCCAAGAAGTGATTCAATCTAAAGCTAATGTGACTAAAACAGTTCACAAAATTTTATTCACATTTGAACTCCACTGGAGTCAGAGATGAAGTGTCATCTTCTATCCCAAGGATGAAGTCTTCAGGTAGTGTCTCAGGTGCTATCTGAGCTAACTGGTCATCATAAGAACGTAGGGTCCATAATTTCTCCAATTCATAGATTTCTCTGGTTTCTGGAAGCATCAAATGAATCACCATGCTGCCTATCAGGGACAGATAAGAATTACAATGAAGAAATAGTTCGTTTACTTTTATTCTTGTTATCTCGCAACCCTCTGAGGCTAGTGTAAAGCTAGTAACTAGAGCAATGGTTCTCAAAGTGTGATTCCCAGATGAGCACCACCTGGGAACGTTGTAAAAATGTAAACCATGGACCCCATTCCAGCCAAGTACCACAAAAGTGATGCTGTGCCTTTCTTGGTGCATCATATAAGAGGTACATGGCATCAGTATGTCGCATTATGGCGTTTTAACTTTATACAAGTGACCAAAGGTGGTTTGTCAGGTTTCTCCTGGGAGACAGTTCTCCATGGGCATCACATTTCTGCACATCCTGTGTGTAAAGCCCTGACTGCCTTTTGTCCTGGACTGTCTTTCCAAGAATGTCTGTATAGTGAATAGTCTTATCAGAAAGATACTGTCTCCTTCCAGAGCAAAGGGCAGCTTTGCTTACAGCAGCACCTATCAATTCAGGACAATGCTGGCAATGTATAGGAACATTTTTGTCACAAAATCAAAATGGGGAGGAGCCCCATCTTACTGTAAAATATCTGAAAAGAGACACCCCTCCCCACAACAAAATTACCTGGTGCAAAATGTGAACAGTGACAAAGCTGAGAAATTTGGTTGTCTCTCATCAGAGCAGAAGCAGGCCTGCTTCTTGCGAATTATAAGAGACACAGACACCCTAATCTGAGTTGTTCTCTCACAGTTGTATGTGTTGGTGTCATCTGGCCCTTGTGTTGCCCTATGGATCTAGGGCTCAGAAAAACAGTGCAAAATTGATGCCAGCAACAGCTACTGCTTTGATTAACAAACTGCCCTTTGTCTCTAATTCTGGAATCGTCTTGTGATTTTTACTAGTAACCATGAATCTAGCAGGATAACTTGTTAGCCTGCAAGTAGGATAAAATCTCAGACCCCTCACAGTTCTTGACATGTTACTGTCTTCCCCTTTACGATGAGTATCTTGGTGGGAGACGCTTCGAAACTATGTGCACATTAATACCCCAACTTCGTAGATCTTTTCAAAATTCCAGCCCTCTGCTTTTTGTCATCCTCTGATGTATTTATGGCCGAGGTCGCATGCACCCCAGTTCCCAAGCCTTCCTCTACCACCACTAGGGCATCTCTCCCGCCTCTACTGTTATTCATCCTGTTCACCACCTTTTTGATCTGTGTGTCTAGTTACACATATACCATTATTGTATATGTCTTCCTCCAGGAGTGTATTAGAGTACTTTGGTTAGGTGAAAATTTTACATGTGAAACCACCTGCATTATAAAATAAGATACTTGTTACTTTAAGCAAATTCAAAAATCTTGTAAGATTAGTATAATACCGTTATGTATGTATAAAATATGACAGCTTACCAAAATCCACACATAGCCAGTCATCAGTGTCCTTCCCTTCAATCTTAACGTGAGGATCACTTTTACATTTTAGATATTTGTACTGAAAAAAAGCCAGGTTGTTAATTAAAGGGAGAGGGGAGGGGGAAAGTCTGTTCTTGCTAAGGGTTTGGGGGTGTTTTTCTTGGTCTTAAGTTAGGAACTAGCTTCCTTATTCCTCATAGCTGTACTTGCCCCATGTTAATAACTTAGGGAAACCATTTCCCCCCTCTTCCCTCTCTAAATCCTAGCCACCTCCTATACCTTTCTCCCGAATCCTGCCCAAACCTTTCTGAGAGGGCCACCCCACACATTTACCTAGGTGGAAAGACCTAAGCTCACTCAACACTTGGGCCCCCCACCTACCTCGATGCTCATGTTCATCCCAGCTTTCCCTTCACTCTCAGAGACAGCAGATGCCACGATCCTGTTTAAAGCTAGGTCTTCTCGGTGCTACCAATTTCATCTCATCTACCTTCATGACATGTTAATGGTACTTCCTCATCCCATGTGTCTATTCCTAACATCCTATAAATGGTCTCAGTTATTCTGTTAAACCAACAGATAAGGCCAGGTACAGTGGCTCATGCCAATAATCCCAGCACTTTGGGAGGCCGAAGTGAGAGGACTGCTGGACAACTTGGTGAAACCTCATCTCTACAATAAATCAAAAAATTAGCCAGGCATGGTGGCACATGCCTGTAGTGCCAGCTACTTGGAAGGCTAAGGCGGAAGGATTGCCTGAGCCCAGCAGGCCGAGACTGTGGTGGCCATGAGGGTGCCACTCGCTGTCCTCCAGCCTGGGTGAAAGAGTGAGACTCTGACTCAAAAAAAACAAACAAAAAACCCAACATATATACTAACATAAGATAGACAAGGCAGCCATTAAGTCAAAAGCTTACAAGAGATGAACACACACACGCCAAACATCAAAGCTCCCAAATGTATGGAAGCACACTGACAAAACTGAAGGGGAGAAATAGCAACATAAGACTTCAAAACCCCAATTTCAACAATGGATAGAACAACTTGAAGATCAATAACGAAAGAGAACTTGAACAATACTAATAGACCAATTGGAACTAATAGACCAATTGGAACTAACAGACATTGAACATACCCAACAACAGCAAAATACACATCTTCCTCAAGTGCATATGAAATTCTCTCCGGGATGATTTATATATTAGGCCACAGAAACTATCTTGAGACAAATGAAATTTTAAAACATGCCAACACTTATGGGGTACAGCAAACGCAATGGTAAGAGGAAAATTTACAAAAGTTCCTGGAAGTAACATAACCTACCATACTAAATCATGAAGAAATATAAAGTCTGAAAAGACCTATAACTGTAAGGAGACTAAAAAGTAATCAGAATTTTCCCAAAAAAGAAAAGCCCTAGACCAGATAACTTCACTGATAAGTTCTGCCAAATATTTAAATAAGAATGCTAATTCTTCTCAAACTCTTACCAAAAATTAAAGAGCAGGAAACACTTCCTAACTCATTTCATCCAGCATTGCCCTAATACAAAGACACACTACTAGAAAACTACAGACAAATATCCTCAATGAACATCTGGTGCAAAAATCCTCAACAGAATACTAGCAAACCAAATTCACCATATTAAAAGGATTATACACCATGACCAAGTGGGATTTATTCCTGGAATGCAAGGATGGCTCAGCATGAAACCTGACCAATGCAATACCACCACATTAACAGAATGAAGAGAAAAAAATTGGCCGGGCTCAGTGGTTCAGCCTGTAATCCTAGCATTTCGGGAGCCCGCAGGTTTGAGAAAAAAAATCTACATTATCATTTGAATTGATGCAGAAAAAGCATCTCGCAAAATTCAACATTCTTTCATAATAAAAACTGAAAAAAATTAAGAATGAAAAGAAATTACCTCAACATAATAAAGGCCGTAAATGAAAAGCACACAGCCAACCCAATGGTAAAAGACTAAAAGCTTACCCTCTAAGATCAAGACAAGGATGTCTGCTTTTGCTACTTCTATTCAACATAACATTACAAGTTCTAATGGGGGCAGTTAGGAAAGAAAAGAAAAGGCATTCAAATTGGAAAGGAAGAAGCAAAATTATCTTTGTTTAAAAATGATACAATCTCACATGTAGAAGTCACCTTGTCTCAAAACAAAAAAAATTAGTTGTGTTTCTGCACATTAACAACGAGAAGCCTGAAAAGGAAATTAAGAAGATAATTCCATTCATGATACCATAAAAAAGAATAAATTCTTAGGAATAATCCTAACCATAGGGGCAAAAGACTCATACACTTATGGCCGGGTTCAGTGGCCCAGCCTGTAATCCCAGCACTCTGGGAGGCCGAGGTGAGTGGATTGCCTGAGCCCGCAGGTTTAGGAACAGCCTGGGCAACTTGGCGAGCCCCGTCTCTACAATAAACCAAAAGTTAGTCAGGTGTGGTAGCGCACGCCTGTAGTTCCAGCTACCTGGAAGGCTGGGGCGGAAGGATCGTCAGAACCCAGCAGGTGGATGCTGGGGTGGCTGTGAGTGTGCCACTGCATTCCAGCCTCCTGGGAGATGGAGTGACACTCAAACTCAAAAAAGGCAGGAAATAAAAGTGTTAGCTAGGATGTGGAGAAACTGCAACCTTTTTGCACCGCTGGAAGGAATGCAAAATGAGGTAGCCACTATGTAAGACAGTATAGTAGCTCCTCAAAAAATTAAAAGCATTCAGCTTTGTGCCAGGCTGGATGAACAGAAAAAAATTAACAATCACCATATGATCCAGCAATTCCATTTCTGGGGACATACCCAATATAATTAAAAGCAGAGACATAAACAGTATTTCTACACTCTTACTTATAGCAGCATTATTCACAATAGCCAAAAGGTAGAAACAATCCAAGTGGGATGAATCCAGTGGGATAAATGGATAAACAAAATGTGGTATACACATAAGACATTATTATTTGGTCTTAAGAAACAAGGAATTCTGGCTCATACTACAATGGATGAACTTTGAAGACATTATGCTAAGTGATATAAGCCAATCACAAGAGGAAAATACTGTATGATTCTATCTACATGAAGTACTGAAGAATAGTCAAATTCAGAGAAAGCATGGTAGTTGTCTGAGGAGGGGGAATTAGGGAGTTACTGTTTCATGTGTACAGTTTCAGTTTTGCAGGATGTAAAAGTTCTGCAGATAGCTGGCATAATGTAATGACTGCACATTAATATGAATGTACTTAAAGCCACTGAAATGGGGATAGGATTTCCATTATATTTTTTATCACAAACAACAAAACTTCCTTGACCTTGCATTTCTCTTTTCTCACTTAAAATCTGGAAAAAAGCAATTTCTGAGTATCACATGTTCTCACTCATAAGCGGACCTTGAACAATTATCGTAATACTCTAAGAAAAGGATTGACAGTAGTGGGACTCAGCTGGGTGGGCAAGCGCACGCCTCATCAACAAGGGTACCTGCATAATGAACATTTGTGCACCTAACCCTGAATTGTACCCCACATCTTTCAAATTAAAAATTTTTTTTAAATGATCTCTCAAAGATATCACATCCTAAAAATAAAAGCAATTTCTATTCCTCTTCCACAGAAACGCCTCTGTAAAACCTCACATTCTTTTTACATCCCCAAGTCCAGTGATCAAAGTCTTCATCTTGCTCCATCCCACTATTACAGCAGATAGAGACTCTGGTGGTACCCTGTCTTTTATATCTCTTCTCCATACTTCTGTTCTTTCCCTATCTTTCTAACTATCCCTTGGACTCTTCTGCTGTCCTATTGTACCAGGGTGCTGTGTTCAGCCCTCTTCTTATTTTGTAATCCTTCCCTTGGCAACCCCAGCTATTCTTTTCGCTCTTCCTCTCTGACCAATTTTCAGCAGGGTGAGAGACGTTATGTTGTCTGAGGAAGGGGAATCAGCTGGAGGTTTCAAGTACAGCTTCTTCCTCACTGATTCATATTCAGTCCAACTGGAAAATGATCTACCTTTCCTTTCCTCAACTAGACCTGTGAGTTCATAGGGCAAAGATTGCATCTTTTTCATTTTTACCTTCCCAATACCCAGCACAATGCATAGGAACACTGGACATGCTCAAGCATTTGAATTAAACTCTAGGTCAGCACCATCCAATAAAACTTTTGCAACTATGGAACTGCTGAGCATTTGAAATATGACTTAATAAAACTGAAACTGAAATTTTAATTTATAACTAAATAGCCATTGTGGCTGGTGGCTACCCCTACTGCACAGTGCGGCTCTAAAAAAATATTATACTATCTTCCGGCGCCTCAGGTCATTTTCCTTGTGACCATAAGAAACAAGAGTTAGAAATATCTTAATAGGGCTGAATATGTGTTCCCATACCTTTTACTATCAAAAAACATAAAATGCTCTCACGCAAATTCTGAAAATCTGGGCTTCTTATGTAACCTCACATGATGGCTTTTCTCTAAGTGTTGCACTGACACTATTTCACTCAGTTAATGGTACAAAAGAGAAAAGAAAGCATCCTACCATTTTCACAATGTAGTAAGCCATGGCATGTAAGTGTCGCGTAGAAGTTCCACTACCAATCACGAAGTAATCTGTATATTTCATTTCTGGAGGAACCCTGATCACACAAATGTCTCTTGCATTTTCTTGCCTCAGAAGTGAAACCATCATATCGATGTCAAACTTAGGACCAGTATGATCTGAAATACACAAATATTTATGTCAGATTGCCAAGAAGATAGACCTATATATATGCACCCAGAAATGCAGGCAGCTCACAGTGGAACTGCTCCTCTATGAGGGTGTTTAGAGCCAAAATGTTTTGAAAGATGGGAGGGCCCAGGGCTTCCGGAAGCTGTACCCAGGCAGAGTATCATAGAGCACTGCTCAACTTTTGTGGTCAGAGTGCTCAGGTTACACAGAGCCACTATACAACCATATGCAAGTAGAACCAACATCAGTGACAAATGACTTCTTATTCACTAATACTTAAAATGAGCAATACACCCCAAATACAGAAATGCTATATACAAAGAAAAACAGCACAAATTGGAGTGGCAAATTAAATCGAATCCCAGCCATAAGGGGTCACAGTACTAGAACTATGAGCTGGAAAGACTCTTAGGTAGAATCTGGTCCACAACCTTCAACTGAGAGATGAAGGCCCTTAGGCCTAGCAAAATTAGTGTGCCCTAAGATCAATGAGAGAGCTAAAGATTTAACTGACTCTCATTTTGAACCCTCAGGTTTTCTCATAAAGCCATTTGAGTTATTAACAATTGTTCACCTATGAAAAAATTTTTTTTCCTGTAGAGATTTAGATATTCTGCTCTTCAGCTTGGGGCATTAAAGCCTGCAAATGTGTAGCTCTCTTAGTTCTAAAGCTGACTCCAAAGGGCCTAGTAGCTAAGTCCGCTAAGACCTTTCTCTCATACTCTACGTTTTCTCAGATGTGATCTGTTTACCGTCTCTCGCGTTTATAAAAAAGTCAGGAACACTTAGAGGATCTTAACTTGGACCCATCTCCTATTGGCGCTTTTTTTTTTTTGAGTTGGAGTCTCACTCTGTCGCCCAGGCTGGAGTGCAGTGGCACGTTCACGACCACCGCAGCCTGGGCTCAGGACCTGCTGGACTCAGGAGATGCTTTCACTTCAGCCTTCCAAGTAGCTGGGACTACAGGCACGCGCCACCACGCCTGGCTAATTTCTTTTTATCTGTTGTAGAGACGAGGTCTCGCCAAGTTGCTCAGGCTGGTCCCAAAACGCCGGGATGACAGGTGTGAGTCACCACGCCCGACTTATTGGCGCTTCTTACACCCGCCTCGGGCTCTTCCTCAGGAGCCTCACAACCCCAACGCTCCCAACAAATCCATTTTCCAGGAGAACGCGAAGAGGGTGAGGACGCTGAGGTTGTCATGCCAACGGTACGAGGTGGCCGTCCGGACGAAGTTTTGGAGATGACAGTTCATCTCTTGCCCTCAGTGTCTTCTCTATGAACAGGAAGGCTGGAGCCAGTGAAATGCAGAGAGGGAAACCTAGAGCCGCCGTGGCCGGGACCTGGCTCCCGGCTGCCCGGAGGGGGTCTCCCTCGCGGTCTTCCACATTCCTACCTGCTGCGCCCGACTCCTCGCCGGCCGGTCCCTCCGCCTGCTCCTCCGGCCTGGACCCGCTGTACAGGCCGCGCACAAAGCCGGGAGTCAGGCAGGCCCGGCCGAACGCCGCTCCCGCGGGAAGCCGCCCCACCTCCAGCAGCCGAAGTCGGGGCCGGGCTACAGTCGGGGGACCCGCTAGCCGGGAGATGGCCCTGAGCCATAGCACCGACCCGAGCCTCCGCGCCGCACAACCACCCAGCCCCATCGCCGTCGCCGCGCGTCGGCGTCACGGGGCGGGGCTTCACGGAGCCCGAGCAGGTTCTGCGGCTTGCGATTGGTTCGGGCCACCAACGCGTCTCGGAAATTCTGCGTCACGTGAGCGGGCGGAGTCAGCAACCTGAAGGCCGGGCCATGGGCGGAGTCTGGAGCCCCGGAGGGACCACAGTGACCCGGAAGGGTTAATTCGAGATTGGTTTCGACTGAGCAACCCCTCTTTGCTCTGTGTGGTCGTGACACCTTCTGATGCTGAGTGTACAGAAGTTGGCGCCCGTGATAAGACTGGAATCGGGACCTATCTTGTGCCCTCTCATTACCAAAAAAGACGAACGATTTCCTTGCAAATTGGAAATCCCATGAGGAAAATCCGTTCACTCCTGGGCTATGATGGAGTGGGAAGCGGAAGTGTGAAGGACCATTTGGAAACTTCTTAGGTCAGCCCTTCATCTGCACTCCGCGGAGACCGTCTCTGTGAGAAAAAGAAATGCTGAGGTGCCCTTGCAGCGCTAAGTCATGGGATTTGAAAACTGGAGAAGACCCAGGGGGGAAAAAAACTTGCCCAGGGTCCTACGCTTAGCGGCTAAGCTACAACCAGAAGCCAAGTTTCTGAACTCCAGGCCTGGTAACTTCTGAAAGGAAGGCTTCATGGACGGGACAGTAGAAGGGGGCAGATATTCCAAGTGCCTGCAGGAGTGCCATCGCATGATACTCCAGAAACATCTGAGGCATCATTTAAGTTATTTTAAACAAATAATCCCAAGCACGAATTGTGGGGAAATTGTTTAAAATACGGAAACTAAGATAAGCGTTTGGGTATACCATGTCAAATATTTACCATCACTCCTAGTTATTTTTGAAAATAAGAAAAATGCCAGGCGCGGTGGCTCAAGCCTGTGATCCCATCACTTTGGGAGGCCGAGGCGAGAGGATTGCTTGAGGATTGACCAGCCTGGGCCACATGGTGAGTCCTCGTCTCTACAATAAATCAATAAAACAACCGGGCGTGGTGGCACGCGCCTGTAGTTCCGGCTACTTGGAGGGCTGAGGCAGAAGGATCGCCACAGCCCAGCAGGATAACAGTTGGGTGGCCGTGAGTGTGCTATTGAACTCCAGCCTGGATGATGGAGACTCCAACTCAAAAAAAAGAAGAAAAATATTATAGATAAAGTTGTCTCCTCTGTTCTCCAGTTCCAGTCCCATCGTCTTCAAGTTCACTGTCCCATTGGCATGAATTTGGTGTTTCTCCCAGGTTTTACCATTGGCTGCATATTCCCAGCCTTGTCTCTGAACATCCCAAACCTGCTTTCCCACCCGTATTTGCCATCTCATTTAATGTATCATCATCCCCCTAAATCTCCTAAACCCTAGGCTTCAGCCCAGGATCTCCCTGCACCAAGCAAATCTGTCGTCAAATACTGTTTATGCTACCTCCAAAATGTTTTTCAGAGCAAACTTCTTACCTTCATTCCCACTATTCCTTCCTGAGTCCAAGCCCTCGTTAACTCTTGCTGTCTTAGTCTGTCTCTACTTGTTTCATTCTCCATGCTGCCAGCTGGAATCATTTTAGGTTCATCTGCTTTTTTGCTACTTTTCAAACTCACCAAACACATTCAGTGCTGAGCTTTGCGTGTGCTATGTTGTTTTTCTAGAGCACACTTTTTCCATCTTTTTTTTTCTTTCTTTGAGTTGGGGTCTCACTGTGTCTCCCAGGCTGGAGTCCAGTGGCATACTCATGGCTACTGCATCCTCGACCTGTTAGGCTCAGGCGATCCTTCCACCTCAGCCTACCAAGTAGCTGGAACTACAGGCACATGCCACCATCCCTGGCTAATTTTTTTATTTATTGTATAGACCAGGTCTTACCAAGTTGCCCACACTGGTCTGGGAACCCTGAGCTTAGGCAGTCCTCTCACCTCTGCCTCCCAAAGTGTTGGAATTAAAGGCATGAGCCGCTTTGCCCAACTTCCATCTTTTTACATGACAAACTCAGAATCACTCTGTAAGACCTATCTTAAGAATTAAGACATGTCTCCCAAGTCTCCTGAATGGTCCCTCAGCAAACCTTCCTCTTTTTGTTCTTTTTTTTTTTTTTTTTTTTTTTTTAGTTGGAGTCTCACTCTGTCGCCCAGAGTGAGACCACAGTCTCAACCTGCTGGGCTCCGGCAATCCTTCCACCTTAGCCTTCCAAGTAGCTGGAACTACAGGCGCATGCTACCTCTTTTTGTTCTTAAACGTCCTTAACATTTACCACGTTTGATTGAATAAGCCACTGGAAATGACTTAGACTTAATTCCAACTCTTCTGTTTTTTAACAGTGTGCTACTGAAGTTACTGTTTCTGAGCCTTAGTTTCCTCATCTATAAAATAAGAATGATGATGCCTTCTTCATAGCATTTTCTTGAAAAATACAATAAAATAAGCAATACAAATTATCTAACATGGTGTTTCACAAGTAATCATATGGAAATTAGTGTATTATCTGTCTACAAATTGCCTCATGGGGAGGAAATGTCTTGCACGCAGTCATTTTGATAAAGACCATCAAAAGAAGACCACCAGGAGCACATATGCTGTCAAAATTATATTAAATATCAGCTAGAGAGATCGCACACCATAGAAGACAGAGGAGCATCTCAGTAAGAGGGAGTAGAGGGGGTTTTGTTTAGGTCTCGTGCTTGGCCTCAGTGAGTCTGAGGAGAAACCAGAGGAAGCAGGGATGTCCTTGGCCAATTACTCATGAGAATTGTGTGGTCTGGGGAGAATCATGTCCTAGTAGAAAAATTATTTTAGGTTCTGTTAGGAGCCTCACATTCTGATTTACTAGTGGGATTGAGAAACAGACATACGGTGAGATAAATAGAAAAGTTAAGACAAATGTGGGTATTGGAACTGGGGAGGGGTGATACCCAGGCTGTGTCTCTGCGTGAAATCATGTGAAATGACCCCGGGCAAGACACACCGAAATTGCTCCAGACAGCAGTGCCTCATAATCTGTTAGTCTGTCAGCAATACAGCCTTAATTTTAATTCCTCAAACCCATTTTTACAGGTCATAATTCCCACCTCAGGGAAATGACTATTACCTATTGGAGAGGTCCTCAGAAATGCAAAATGCTCTGCTTCCTCTGGAACCTATTTATTCTTGGGCTAGGACTTTGTTTTCAGATACTCCTTGGTTGCTTTTTAAAGTTAGAATCAACAGGAAGGGGGTGGTTTGATAATCCCTACCTTTGGGGTGCTGAACCGGAGGGTTGAAGCCAAAAGCAGCTTCCTGAGGGAGTCAGGAATTATAAATTAACCAGACTCCATGACTACAAGGACTTCCTGATTATGGAGCCTAATTACGTCCCTGGTGTGTTAATTCAGTTTTGTTTACTCTGTTAGCAGCAAAGGTAAAAGGCTCCCAAATCTGCTTCCTGGGCTTCATGGGAAAGTGAGAAGCTGCAGGCACAGAGACTTTCTCTGCAACTACCCCAGGGATTAGGGAGCAGGTTGGGTGTGACTCTGGGAGATGACACCAGACAGACCTCAAGACACTGCTACAAAGAGAACAGAAAAGCCGGGCTCGGTGGCTCAGCCTGTAATCCCGCGCCTTTGGGAGGCTGAGGT